ATTTTTCAGAAACCACAAACCCCACTGCAAATAGATCAGACTGAAAAACAAACCGCTACGGTTTCAGCCGGGGACAAAGAGTGGGATGGGACGGCCCGGGAGGAGGGAGGGGACAGCCCCAGCCACGCTGTCCCAGAGGGGATTCCTGTCCCATGAGAGATCCCTGTCCCCAGAAGAGATCCCTGTCCCCTCTCCCGTGGCCAGACAAAGCTCAGCAGGGTTGGGCACTGGTTTGCAGCCTGGTGCTTCCAGGAACTTTATCCCAAGCTCAGCCCTCAGCTTGTCCCTGCTGTAAACAAGGCACTGCTTGCCCTGGTGGCATTTTTCTGGCTGGAAAAGCCTCCTGACTCCATCCCAGTGAGCCAGAGCTCTATCAGGGACTGAAATCAGGAGAGCAGGCTGAAGCCTTTTCCCATGTCCTCCCTGCAGCCAGGCTCTGACTTTCATTTGTCCCCCGGGATATCCTTCTGAAGGATTGCAACTAGAACTATTAGAGAGATGCTTTGGGAAATATTTGGAGAAGCCATGAGTTCTGCACTGAGAAAGGCAAAACCTTCCGAAATTTCCGCTGGTTTAGATGCTAATGTACATTTTGGTTAATTCAGCCCTAATGGAATGGTAATAGAAGTGTCACATGGGGATCCTGGGAAAAAGCAAGGTGGAAATTCATTTTCCAACAGAAAAAGTCCTTTTCAAAACAGGAGAAAAGTTTCTTTGTGAAAAGTTGCAGAACTCATTGAAAATGTTCCATTTTCTCTGATTTTTTAGGGGTCAGGTCACAGACTCAAGTGAATCGACTCCCACAAAGGGGTGGGTTGATTCAGTCATTGGTGTGTTTTGAGTAAATAAATAGCATCATCTGGAGAGATGATCCTCCTCCTCCTCCAGGGGGAGAAACCTTGTCCCAGAGGAGGAGCCTGCTTTGCTCACAGTGTCCCAGAAAGAGGATTTTTAGCCCATAAATAGTGACACTGTTACAGATATGCTGATTGGATCCCTAGGGCTGGGCAGGATCAAGGCTCGGTTCAAGTTTGGCTAAGCCCGGTCCAAATTGTCGTTCCAAACCTCTCTGAATGGGTTTCCTTGTAGCCTGGAGTTTTTGGATGTAAAATGTCAGCTTGGAAGTGTGAATATGACTCAGCCCAGGTGGACTGAGATGAGTTCCTTTGCCTTAGTCCTCCTTGTATAATACAGATTATGGAGGAGAGTGTGGGAATATATTGTGTTGTAGGATGAGACTGAGCTCTGAGCACGACTTTGCCCTGGTGAGAAGGATTAAATACAATAATCAGCAACACAGACACTGCTGTTGAAGCAACGTGTGCGCTCAGCTACTGCAAATTCCCAACTCTTTCTCTCCCTCTCAAAAATAATAGTCCAAATCCACTAAGCTATTTTTGTTTCACAAGAATCTGTGCAACGTGAAAGAACCACCCCAGCCCTCCCAGCTTCCAGGCCCAGACTCTGAAAAGCTGAACGTGTTCAAAGCAAAATGGAAAAGGCAGAGCCAGGGAACGCATCCAGAGATTCGGGTTCCTGCAAAAACAGAGCATTCCCAGGACCTGACGCCCGGTGGCTCGAAGAGATCCTACAGAACTCCAGCCAGACAGTGACAGGGAGCCTTATCTGTCAGCAAAAAACCACTTGGATTTTACACCAAAACTTGCCATGTGATGGAAATTCAATTAAAAGGCTTGGGCTGAGGTTCTCTCCTGGTGTAAATCAGCAAATAGCAACGGTGGAGTTGGGGGCAAATTTATATCAGCAAAGGATCAGGTCCCCCATGTCTGGTTTAGACTTAAAAGGCCCCGTGGAACAACAGTCCAGTGACAAATGTGTGTTCAATACAAAATGGAATTAAAGAGCAGAAAATAAATCATAGATGCTTTCAAGAAATGTCACTGTGCAGCTGTCTGGTTTATGTCCAGCGGTTCCCCAGCATGAATGCAGACTCTATTATGGGCAAGGTAAAGGATATTAATAATGCTTTGCACTTTCACAGCACCTTTCAACTGAGGATCTCGCAGCTTTGCAAACATTTGCACTCACGGCGCGCCTGGGAGGGAGCTTAAATATAATTTTATTTATTTGCATGCATAAAGACCCTTTCCTCGGGCTTTGGCTGCCTTTTCCAGATGAGCTGACTTTCCCAGAAGTCAGGCTGTGTGGAACAGACTGCAGCACTGATCTCTGGACCCTTTCTAGCCTTGGTCTCTGCGTTCTCACCCCAAATCTCCCTCAGCTTCTGCCTTTCTGTGCCGTTTGGAAGTTTTCATCTTCTGCTGAGCAACTCCCCTGTCAAAGTCTAGTGATTCCTCTGGGATGAGGTGCGAATCAGAAGGAACAGTGGCGAGACAGCCTGCCAGGCTCTGCAGAAGGCTGAGAAAAGGCTTAAAACATGGCAAAATCAGCAAGGCCAAGCCTGGGCATCAGGCAGGGGGCCCTGCAAAGCTCAGGAGATGAGTTCCATCGCCCAGAGCTCTGCAATTCCCTCTTGTTGGATTGTTTGGTGGGGGCAGATTTAATCTAAACAGACTGATAGACTCAGGTACTGCTGGGGGCAAATGGGCAGACACAGAGACTCCCTTCCTTAGGAAACCAGGCTTAAAATCCCCCAGTGGGTTCCACCCCACAATCCCAAATCCCCTCCAGTCCTTTCAGCCTGAATGCAGTCCCATGAGCAAGGCATGAGGGAAGGCTGTGCTTCAGATATGATGTATTAGGGAGCAAACCCTCTCTTGATAAGCTTTAAAAAGTTCTGAAAAATTAAAAGCAATCCCCGGTGCTTTATAAATCTGGGAGC